CCCCAAAACCCCAAAACCCCAAAACCCCAAAACCCCAAAACCCCAGAGGATTTAGATAATATTGAAGGTCATATTCTCTTATTGCAGCTTAATCTTTAATCATTTTCTTTGCCAACTGGTAGATGGAGAATTGAATAAAGGTGTATGGGATTACCTTTAGCAGATGAATACTGTAGCCTCTGTAGAGATCGGTGATTTTTCACTTTTTCAAAATTTGGAATGAAGAGCTAAGGCTATTTTTAAATCCAATAGAGCCATTTACTTGACGTAACTTCTTTGCTGTCTCAAATGGATAGAGAATGCTCGAGAGTAATCACATTACTACTGTTGGCGGAACAATTCTGTTCAGAACTCTAACGTAAAAGTTGGTCTGATCTAGTTCTTTAGATGCATCCCATGTAAATTTGTTACAGAGGTCAAACAATGGAAAAGAAAGAGCAGCATATGGCAAAGTGCCTGCAATAGACATCCCAAAGCCCCTATAGAGGTCAGAATATCTGATAAATTTCATCTGTGTAGGGCTTGATTCAATAGAACTAATAATCTCACTGCTATTCCTTGCTTTTCTAAATCAGTCTGCTACTGAGCTGTATATTCTCTTTTGACCTTGCTTTGTCATATCTACTGTCATTCTTGTGTGAGCAAGGTCAAGAGGATAGGCAATAGCTAGGATCAGTAATGAAATTGCTGAATTTATCCCAACATTTTGAGCAAATGTATACCCATTAGCATCTCTCTCCTTCGGAGAGAGATGGAATCTCTGGTATAAATAGCCCCTGGCTCAGGTTTGGAGGATAAATTTGTAAGAATTAGCCATATTTCCTCTCAAAAAGTTGAGCACACCTTGGTCATTACATATCGCAGTGTATACTCCTAATGGTCTGTTAGTCTTTAAGTCAACTTTGTTAATGGAAAGGAAATCTGTCTGTCAGATGGTCTTCACTCTCTCAATCGGGGCTAAGATAGTGTTGGTAGAGACAATTGAGAAGCATGAGACAAGCAGAAGAGAACTTTCCTTGCTCAGCTTTGAAAAAGCTGAGTTAGATCTAGCTTTTTGGCGCTTATAGAATTGACTTTTCTCTCTAATCTCTTTCTGTATCGAACTGAGAGTTTGTTCTTTACTATTTGCCATCCTGGAGCTTTACTTTGAATTAAAAATATTATTATCAGCCATATGTGGATATTTCGGGGTTTTGGGGTTTTGGGGTTTTGGGGTTTTGGGG